ATTCATTACATTTTTTTAAAGTTCACTTAATTCCTACATAGTTTGATAAAGTTCTACAACGTTCACTAAATTTGTACTAAATTAGCTGAACTTTTGAAAAAATAGCTGAACTGCTACAATTTCTGAATTTCTACGAAGTTCACTAAAGTTCCTCAAAGTTTGCTAAACAACTACAAAGTTAAATGAACTTATTTAAAGTTTGCTACACTTCTAGAAAGTTTCCTGAACTTCTAGGAATTTTCCTGAACTTCTACGCAGCTATCTGAACTATGAAGTTTTCTTTATTACCTGAACTTTTTACAAAATTCTCTGAAGCTCTACAGAGTTTCCTGAAGATCTACGAAGTTCCTTGAAATGTTACAACGTCCCTGAAATCAAATGATGAATATCTACGAAGTACGTTATGTTACTACAAAGTTAGCTGAACATTTTTCAAAATTTGTTGGACTTCCAGAAAGTAATTTTATTTAATAATAAGGATAGACATCCTGTCATCGACAGTTATGGATTAACAACCCTGATTCTGACCATTTCGAAAGTTACCTTTGGAAAATTTGTTCACGAATCCGAGGTCTTCCGGAGTTTCGTACAGTTTAGTTTGGGCACTACTGAAACGTAGAACATTGACATCTCCAGCATATAACGGAGTTAGTAGGACTCACTTAATCAATGCATAATAGAACGAGTTTTAGTTCACCTTCGCACCTCAGTGAAACGTAAGACTTCGATACCTCAGATTTGATTGAATCCTCCAAACCGTCCCGCATTCTGAACCAGTTTCATCAAATTATTCGCTGTCATCAATCTCTTCCTTTTCTACATAGAAATAGGGTCTGGTCTGTCTCCGGTCGACAACAAGCGCCGGTTTTGTGTATTCCGATCATGTATTTATGACGGTACCGGCTAATTATCGACAAGAACCACACGGCACAAACACACACCGGAGCCGTGTTCAGATGGGACGGGCGATGCATGTGAAATCAGATGGATACACAAAGTACCGTTTTTCGCACGAGGGGGACCCTTTCCAGAGCCATGAGGTTGTGTCATTGTGTATGGCTGATGTAGCAGGAGGGGGCAGGACATGCAAAACACGAACGCACCGAAGTCGTGCGCCCGGATGCGCGTGCCTCTTGAATTTGTTATTATCTCAGTGTTCAAATCTCTCGTAGGATGGAATTGGATCTGGTTAATGTGAAAGGTAGCTTGGTGTAGGGTTTATGTTTATCCCACTGGAAAGGATTCCTGATGAAACAGCAGACCCTTCTATTCTTGGTTGGGACATTTTTTATGAAATCCAACTGGATTTGCAAATGAAGCAGCTGGTAACCCTATGTGTCGGGGCTTAGACAAAGCTCGCTCGTCATTCGGATTAGTTGAAGCCGTATACAATATTGATGGCAATTAGGAAATTTGCCTCCATGAAACGACGATGTAGATCTTCACTCATCCGTTTATGGACAACAGCGGAACTATCGAAGCCTGGCTCACACACACAGAGAGAGAGAGAGAGAGTTGCTGGTGCATCAAACAACGGATTTAGTTCGCTTGAAACGGAATTTTTTACGACCCATTGTCAGATTCCGAACCGCCAATCCATCAAACTCATCCGATCCCACCCCAAAGCCATTTCCGCGCGCGACCTACATCCATCCGTACGTATTCCATGCAAAAGGGGCCTGTTCGGCGTACGCACCCACAATTGTGACGTTCGGACGACGCCCGACCTTGATTGGATTGGAGAAAGGTCTGGTTCAATTATTACGACCCCGCAGGATATGCCTACCTAGGAGGAGTTTGCTTTCAGCCAAATTTTCGCTCGCAAAAAGCTGAAGAAGCGAAAAGTCATTTTGCTTCTTTCATCTCATCTTCAATTTACAGCCGGGAAGGGCCCAAGCAGAAGGGGCTGAAGTCATGAAAATAAAAGTGATTGCCCTTGATGCTTCAAGGCTTCCTTTTTTTCTCCTCAGAAAGGATACTTTGTCACAGGCCTCCATCTTAGATATCGTTCTTTTCTTTTTTCGGCGATATTATCATTATGGACCCGTTACCCCTGAAGTTATGTACGTCGCCGCTGATGCCCTCTCGCGATATGTTTATCATCGTCGTCGTCATTTACGCCTCCCACGCCGTTGTCATTATTATTCCAAGAGCATCTTGTAGCTTCTTGTTTGTGGTACAGCGTGATGTTCTCCGCCGTTCCGTTCTTATGCTTCAGCGCACCACCACCGGACGGGACTGACTGATGGGGAGTTCTTAGCTGGAACAGGTTTCAGCTTCCCTTCGACCACAGGAGCTCGCGCGAAACGCAGGCGATGATATATGCCAACAGCGGTCGAATGATGAAAGGTCAAGCGGATAAAAGGTCGAATGAGCCCCCTGCCTCCAGATAATCAAAAGTCATATAAGCAATGCACAGTCAAAATCGATCATCGCAGTTAAGCCGATGTACGTGCATTTTGGATGATCCGGGTCCTTGTGATCATTCGTCCTTTTATCCTCTCCTAAGGACCATTCGACCTTCTGTCCATTCGACGTTGCATCCCGCAACCGCTTTAATCGTACAGAAGGAGAAAGGTGAAATTGTCAGCCATCATTTTCTGTTTGGGGTTTTGGTTTTGCCATTTTCCCTTTGAAGAAGCGGGTGGAATGCTTCTGTGTGGGGAAGGTCTTTCATCTTTTCCTTTCGGACCGGAATTTACACAGAAGTTGAGATGGCGTTCGTATTTCGCTGTACCTTACAACCACCCCACCCACATTGCATCTCTCACCTTCTCGCTGAAATGTGCTTGTTTTATGCTGATGATGTGTTCTCTCGGTTTGCTTTGAGTTGGCTGTTTGGGTTTTCGGTGGGGGTTGGTTTGGTGAGTATGTGTGGGGACGAAGAAGTTATGTTCTTTTGTGTATATCGAGCGAAAGAATAATAATAATGAGACGCGATTTTCTTTTCGGGGGTTGTAGGACAAGTCATTTAGGGGGTGATGCACCGGTGGTCACAAATCACAAATGATCAGAACCTGATTTGAAGTCGAAAAAATATAATTTGAATCCAACTAATAAAACTATGCCCAAGTTGTTCATCAACGCACTACTATAAATATGTTCCTAAGAAAAATAATGGCTGTTCTGCTTCCAAAAATGTGTAATTCTTGGACAACACCACAATTGGCTCTCGCCACCCACCCACTCACTCACTCGATCAAAAGAAAATCGATGGCAATCCCATAAACTGCTTCCCTTCAAGACAACACTCCCCCACAACGCTGTCATTAAAAAAAAATCCCGACGAAAAATTCCACCAGTCAAAGCCAGCGGAAACAAAATCATAGCCATCATGCATGCAGGCAGCGGCATGTTTTACGATTTCGATTCAATTTACATACCGATTCCCATATCGGTGCCAAAAACCCTCCCGCTTTCCGATTATTTCTCCCAGCCATTGTCGTGTGTGAAGCGCTTTTGGGAGTTAACTCCCCCACACTCTTGCCTTGTAACAGCAACAACAACCAGAAGAGGATGGTGCACCATGCATGCTTGCATCCATGTGGGTTGCCATCACGAAAATTGATTACTGCTCTCTCTCTCTCTCTCTCTCTCGGCATGCACGGAGAAAGAGGCTCGCGGAGGGCGTCGTCGTCGCTTGCATCATAAAATTATTAATTGCTCTTGCTCTGTATCACGACGCGGTACCAGTAATAATGAACCCCCGAACCGTTCATCGTCGTTTGCCCAAAAGAATGAATCGTCGTTTTCGATGTTCTTTTTTTTTTTTGGAGATTGGAGAAGGTATTGATTGCTTTGGCTGGCTGCATTAGGCTGCCAAAAAATGCTTCGTACATGATTACGATGATGATGGTACAGAGTTCTGTAGGGTGAGCGGATCGAACGAGTACCCACTCGGCGTTAGTGGAGTGAAAAGACATTTTCGGTGCTGGCACAACAATTGGGCACTTTAAGGGGGGCGCCCTACGTGACTGTCAAAGCATTTCGTTCGTACCTGATTACCAAATTGGGAAAAGGGCGTTTTGATTGTTATCAGAAATCGATTGTTTTACATTTATTGAACACTATTGAGTAAATATTTCATTGGTGAAAATCCATCGATTTAAGTTAAATGAAAAAAAAAAAACAAAATGGTTTGTTTGGATTTTCAGGCTTTTGAAACTTTCTAACATAAGAATGCAAAGCCACGATAATGGATTCGAATGCATTAACTTCGACAAGCAAGTAAATAAGATTTACACTTTAAAACGATGCGAGCGAAATGAAGACAAGTAGATTCATTATTTTAGAGTGGAACGCAAACTATCAATTCCACCCTCTGCACATTAATTTGAAATCTTAAAATTACCGAAAAAGAGGTTTGCGATCTAGCAGTGGGGCGTCGCGTAACCTCACTTTTTACCTGTGCACCAACTTTCAAAACCAGATTTATTGCCATATTCATACTCGAATCGGTCTGAAAATACTCTTAATCTTCTAGTTTACTCGAAATCTATCCATAATTGTGTATGTTTTGAAAGTTGGTGCACAGGTAAAAGGTGAGGTTACGCGACGCCCCACTGCTAGATCGCAAACCTCTTTTTCGGTAATTTTAAGATTTCAAATTAATGTGCAGAGGGTGGAATTGATAGTTTGCGTTCCACTCTAAAATAATTAATCTACTTTTCTTCATTTCGCTCGCATCGTCTTAAAGTGTAAATCTTATTTACTTGCTTGCCGAAGTTAATGCATTCGAATCCATTATCGTGGCTTTGCATTCTTATGTTAGAAAGTTTCAATAGCCTGACAACGTAATGGAATTCCATCTCTCTACGGATTCCATTGCAGTGCACTTCCTTCTCGAAAATTGATACGCACCGAGGGGTCAGAAGTTTCTAATTAGTTTCGGTTTAATCAGTTGCACACCAGTTGCTGTCGTCGTTACATTTGAAGTTATATCTAGGGATGTGCGAACTTGCTAATGATGTGTTCTTTTTTTTTGTTCTCTACTTTTGCAGTTGTCCTGCTCGATACCACCAAGGAAGCGACGCTGGAGTGGACCCGGTACCCGTATGGACCGCAAGCGCAGACACCTGGTGTAAGTAATACAAAGTTACAGGTAGTACAGCTATAATTAGTGTATGCAGTTACCGTTTTTGAAACTGTTAATTGGGAGAGTGAGCAGGTATTGTTTCGTGCTGCAAGTTTTGACGTAGGACTACGTCGGTGATTTCTATATGATGATATTATGAAAGATTTTGAACGTTAATAACTCAGCTGCCCCTGGACCAATTTCAATAATTTTATCACCAATCGTTCAGAAATATGTCTACACATCTGTCAAATTTAAGACGTTATCATTTATCAAAATGTCACAATTAAAAATTGCGTGAATGTGCAACTGTGGCTGTGATTATTAAAATTATGTCCGATTGCCTGCGAAAATCTATTTCCCTAACACAGATTTCAAAGTTGAATCCCATCCGGTCTCACCAAACGGTGTTTATTCAATCACTCAATCGTGGTGAGCGACGCAAGCAGCTAGCTATCAAGGCTGGCCTCAACCGCTGATCGGATTCAGTTCCAATCACCGTGTGTGGTAGTGTCCGGTTCTTCTCCAGTACATAACGAAAGGCTGCCGGCAAGCAGCGAAGGAGGAAGAAGCCGCACCGCTTTTGATCGGAATCAGTAGTTCTTCGTGAGTCGCTGTGGGCCATCTATGTCAAGCGCGTCATACTAAAGAGTATAAACAGAGAGAACCCCGCTCAAATTCCTATTCCTACACCAAGCACAAACTCCTGCTGCAGTTAAAAAATAACATTTATTGTATAAGACCACTTAGTCTTACGTCACCATTGCGTACAACCCCATAGGGCTGTCCCTTGTAGTTTTTTGTTTTTGTCATAGGATGTTACCTTATAATATGGTCCGGACGTGTGCAGCAGGGTGGGTCAATTTTATATGGCGGATCACAACCCCTGGTTCCCACAGCTTCTTCGATTCGTATTGAGATCCTCAGCAATTGTGTCTTCCTCAGATTTGACTTCCTTGGGATGCTTTCGTAGTGCCTACTACTTCATAATAGCCCAGTATTTTTCGATGGGCCTTAGTTCCGGTGCGTTGGGGGTCAGTCCTTGGCTTCATACCACTCCAGGACAACAGCCACTATTCAAAGCACGAAGCTAGATCCGGCCAGAAGATTGTAGGGCCCTCGTGTTGCTTCAACAGAGAAAGCAGACGCTTCTGGAGACACTCCTTGAGGTAGATCTCCCCGTTTACAGTCCCGGTAGTCACGAACGGCGCACTTCGTTTGCCACATGAGTAGATCGCTTGCCAAATCATGTATTTGTTGGCAAACTTTGATAGTTTCTGCTTCCTTACTTCCGTCGGAACATCTAACTTGTACTGGCCGGTGAAGAACAGTAGGCTGATGAGACAATGAGGCTTCGTCCGCATCTGGGTGTACAGTTTCCGGGCCCGTGACTTTCCCACCGTATTTTGCCGTTCGTCACGATTTGGAGCCTTCTGCACTTTGTACGTATGTAGTTACTCCTGGTCCCTGGCTTGGATTCCACTTAAACGCTTTCACGACACGCTTGTGATCCTGATCACTAATAGAACATCCATTCTGACCGCATTTCTCCTTCCGTTCAATGCTCAGAGTTTCGTAGTAACGTTTAATCACACTACCAAAGTTGCCACCTATCACAATCACGATCGCCAAACAGCTGATGGTAATAACGCTTTGTACATTCCTATCAATGTGCTCGTCGAAGCTCTCTCCATGACCATCCATCAAGTTGTCGAAAGAAGTAAAAAGCAACTGGTGAATGTCGTTTTCTGTTGTGATCCATCACCGATCTGGTCATTCCCGACAATCACGACAATCATCTGTGCTCGTTTTGAAGCAGTTGCTGCTTTGCTTGCTTATTTGAGTGTGTTTGTGAGTGAGCGCAGCAGCTTCCGTTTAAGGTTGCCTGCTTTTTTTGTAACTCACACAGTCGCGCCTGCCGAGACGAACTTGGAATGCGTAGGCATTGTTTTCATTTTCTTCTGTCGTTTCGCTTTTTCTCATGATCGTACTGCAGAAGTCTTCACTGTTTTCGTTGTGCTTTTCATTATCAGCAGCGAGTGTAACGTTTTGCTTGTGAGCAGCGACCATTACTGGTGATTGTTGTTTGTCATCTACTCACCGTTCAGTGCACGATTCCGAGTTGTTTTCCGATGTCCCGATGAGAGATGAGGATTTTCCAGGTGCTTGCGCAAAATCAATTCGCTACGTTGCTTTTCGGGTGACGCCATTTTTTCCAACTTTCGAAAAACTGGCAGCGATAAAAATACAGTGTAAACAATACACTCTAAACTACTTCTACTCAAATTTTCAAGAGAAAATACCCAATGGGTAATTTTTTATAGCGTGTTTTTCCGTGATGCAATTTGATGTGGAATACCCTTTATTTTGCCCATAGTTGCATTCACTCTTAGGGGCTTTTCATTAACTACGTAGACAGTTTAGGGGGTTGGCAATTATTCACGGCCCATACAAATTTTAAAAATTGTGTATGGACAATTGTCTACGCAAGAGGAGGGGAGGGGCAAGAATCCCAAAAAAATGTATACGTAGTTAATACTTACTTAAGGGTCCTGTGCACCACCAGCGGTGCAAAGGGCCAACGTGAAAGACTTCCATCCTGGGCGGCTGCTCGCTTTTGCCTTGACCTGGGCCCAGGTCAGATTTCTATCGACTTGCTTAATTTCCTTATTGAGGCTCCGCCACCATGAGCCCCTGGGTCTGCCTCTGCTGCGATGTCCTGCTGGATTCCAATCCAGCGCTTGCTTGCAGATTTCGTTTCCGCCCCGTTGAAGTGTGTGGCCGACCCACCTCCACTTTCGCTCTCGAATTTCTGTTGCTATCGGCTTCTGATGACATCGACGATGGAGCTCGGCATTCGAGATCCAGTTGTGAGACCACCAGGCACGAATTATATACCGCAGGCATCGGTTGATGAAGACCTGCAGCTTTTGAGTGTTCTCCGCTGATACACACCACGTCTCGCTGGCGTTTAACAACACAGATTTCACGTTCGAGTTGAAAATTCGGATTTTGGTACGTTGACTTATCTGGTTGGATCTCCATACGTTTCGTAAACTCGCAAAGGCAGCCCTAGCCTTCTTGATTCGTGCACCTATGTCGCTCTTGGTCCCGCCGTCCGACGCTATTTGGCTGCCAAGATATTGGAAACTTTCGACCTTCTCCACTGCTTGCCCCGCTACCGTAAAGTTGGAAGGGTTGCCCGTGTTGATATCCAACGATTTGGTCTTGTTGACGTTGATGGTGAGACCCGCCGCAGAGGAGCGTTCGGCTAGGTCATTGAGCTTACTCTGCATATCAGAGCGCCGTTGTGCTAGTAGAGCAACATCATCAGCCAAATCGAAGTCGTTGAGATGCTCCATGGTGATAGGCTGCCAAAGCAGCCCACGGTTCGGTACACGGTCAATTGCACCTACCATGATCTCGTCGATTACGATGAGAAACAGTAGCGGTGATATTATACATCCTTGTCTCACACCAGCGACTACCCGGATAGGGTCGGACAAGGCTCCGTTATGCAGAACTCTGCACGTGAAAGCCTCATACTGCGCTTCGATGAGGTTGACGATTTTATCCGGGACTCCCTTGCGTCTCAGGGCGCCCCACAGATTCTCGTGATTGAGACGGTCGAAAGCTTTTTCGTAGTCAATGAATACCAAATAAAGGGACTCTTGGAATTCATTGACCTGCTCCAGGATGATGTGGAGCGTGACAATATGGTCCACACAAGATCTTCCGGCACGGAATCCTGCCTGCTGCCGTCGGAGAGTCGCGTCGATCTTCTCCTGTATCCGATTCAGGATAACTTTGCACAGAACTTTGAGAACAATACACAGTAACATGATGCCTCGCCAATTGTCGCACACAGTCAGATCCTCCTTCTTTGAGACCTTCACTAAGATGCCCTGCATCCAGTCGGCCGGAAAAGTCGCGGTGTCCCAGATATTACAGAATAGTTGATGCAACATTTGTGCGGATAGCATGGGGTCAGCTTTGAGCATATCTGCTGATATGCGATCGACCCCTGGAGCCTTGTTGGATTTCATGCTTCGGATAGCTGCTTCAATCTCCTGCAGTGATGGGGCCTCGGAATTGACGCGAGTGATGCGCCGCATCCTAGGCGGATCATGCCGAGATGTTGATGGCTGGTTGGCCGTCGAAACGTGAAGAAGTTGTTCGAAGTGCTCAAACCAGCGTTTCAGCTGGTCAGTGGGGTCGGTAAGCAATTGTCCAGTCGTGTCCTTCACTGGCATCCTCGGGTTCATCCTTGCTCCACTCAGGCGTCGTGAGATATCGTAGAGGAGGTGTATATCGCCAGTGTTTGCGGCTTTCTCCCCTTCGTCGGCCAGGGAGTTCACCCACGCTCGCTTGTCCCGTCTGCAAGAGCGCTTGACTTCCTTCTCTAGAGCCGAGTACCGTTGACGGGCTCCTCTGGTTCTCGCCCGCTCTATCGCGGCTTTTGCTTCTCTACGCTCCTCAATCTTCCGCCAGGTTTCATCTGTGATCCACTCTTTCCTCTGGGTGCGCAGCTCACCCAAGTTATTCTCGCTTGTTTCTATTAAAGGCATTCTTGATGGCCGTCCATTGTTCTTCTACGCTGCCACCTTCTGGAACGTCCGCAGCTCGAGTCTCAAGTTCATGAACAAAAGACCTTTTTACCGCTGGATCTTCAAGTCGGCGTGTGTTGAACCGCCGCTCGAGTCTCTCCTCCCGTCGCTGGATCCGCGCCATGCGTAGGCGGATTTCACCGATTAGAAGGTGATGGTCAGACGCGATGTCGGCGCTGCGTTTATTCCGGACATCAAGAAGGCTCCGTCTCCATTTTCGGCTGATGCAGATGTGGTCGATCTGATTCTCGGTATGTCCATCACGGGAAACCCACGTGACTTTGTGCACTGGCCGATGGGGGAAGAGCGAGCCCCCGATCACCATGTCGTTATTGCCACAAAATTCTGCAAACAGCTCACGGTTCTCGCTCATTTCGCCGAGACCATGGCGTCCCATGA